CTGTGTGTGTGTCTCCGTGTGTCTGTGGTTGTGTGTCTCTGTGTGTGCATATATGTGTCTGTGTGTGTGTGTGGTTGTGTGTCTCTGTGTGTGTGTGTATCAGAGTGCCACCTCCTCTCTGGGTTCGCTGCGTGGCGGCCGGCAGCAGCTGCAGCTGGAGGGCAGCGAGCTGATCGACTTCTTCTGTGAGGACAGAGAGCTTTTCCGGCTGGACGAATGTTTCTCCATCTTCCAAAGCTTCTGCTCCCGATTCTCTCAAGCTGTTAAGGTACGCCCACAAACACACACCAACGGCTAAATCAGAATCAGAATTAGGTTCATTGCCAAGTAGGTTTTTCACCTACAAGGAATTTGATTTGGTGTTAGGTGCACAACACTTCTATGAGACAAGAAACGACATACAATGTAGAAATAAAAATATAGAATAAAATAAAATAAATAATAATAATAATAATAAATAATAAAAATAAAATATTGAATGTCCAACGACAAGCCAAAAAAATGTTGAACGTGGTATTGGGTAAATTAGTGAGGTAGAGGGGGTTGAGAAAAGAATAGTTGGGGGTCACTGGTTGATTTGTTTGTTGATGAGGCCATTTGCTGCTGGATAAAAACTGTCTTTATGGCGTGAGGTTTTGGTCCTGATGAGTTCTCAACCTTCTGCCAGAGGGGAGGGTTTCCAAAAGTTTGTGACCAGGGTGAGAAGGATCAGACATGATCTTTCTTGCACGCCTTAAAGCCAGCAACAGCTCCTGTAAGTAATGGTCCCCTTTCATTTCCCTTCAAATGAGACGTTCTGGGGAGAAACCCACCCCAGAAAGGTAGATTTGTTTCTGTCATGTCACGACTTTGTGTTGCTCAATATTCACATTTCTAGAAGCTTATTTGATCTTGTGGATCCTAAAGAACACTAAACAGTTAACACACTGGTGTGTGTGAACATTGAAATTGTAACTTTACACCAGTATCAGGAGCCGGTCACTGAAGAATTTCCTCTGACAATCTGTCCTTCATGTCTCTATGGAACAACCCATTATTGTAATCCGAGCAAGTTTTCTCCTTTTTTTTTGTCCAGTCTTAAAACATGCATCTTTTCAGTGGAATTATTATTATTTTTAGCCAATTAAATTTGAGCTATGAATTATTCAGGCAGAAAAAGACCCCTAACTCAAGGGATGAGCCAGTGCTGTGTCCACACAGAAAAGGAAACTCAGCAGAAAGCGGTTTAACCCTTTAAAGCCTGATCCAGGAATATAACAAAACAGAAAATTACTTTTTTTGGGTTTGAAGTCTTTATTTGGCCTTTTAACAAAATATGTAAAAAGAAAAAACAGAAATGCATTTTTAATATTAATTATTTATTACTATGCGATAAGGCAAGATTATTTTTTGTGTAGTCTTCTGCCCCCTGTTATCAGGTGTATCTGATTGTGTACAATAGGATTTTGAGCAAAGTTTTTACCATTAAATTATGCAAAAGGTGTCAGACGCAAAACATTTCAGAAACTGTATGTATCAAATATGATACATTTGGCATTATGGGGTTAAAGGGGATCTTTAGGCTCTTTGAGACCAGCACCCAGTCACAGAGACACATCATTCGTGTTAGCAGCTCGGCACTGTTTGGGTCGCCTCATGCTGGAGCCATAACAGAAAACTCCGCCCCTCTTTTGGCTCTGAAGGAAAACGCGGAGAGGGAGGCGAAGGAGGCGGCCCGTCGCCGGCGGTTACAGGAGGAGGAGCAGAAGAGGCACTCGTGGGCCGGAGGCGAGAAGGTGAGAAACGGGATAAAAAAACAAACATCCTCCCGGTGGGGGCCGGCTGACTCTGTCCTGGATGTCCTCCTGACGACGTAGTGAATTATGCTAAGTCTTTCAAAAATACTAAGTTCTTGGAGAAGCTGTTGAAAAATCTCAAACAGTGGTCAAAAAGAAGCAGAGGCAGCTGGGTCTCGGTCCAGAGTGGTTTATT